GGAGGCAGCAGCGCAGTGCCCATCCCTGGCTGTCCCTCACGCAGGGGACAGGGAGGGGAGCTGGTGCTCAGAGCATCTGAGGATGAAATTGGCTCTTTATTCCCCCTCCTGCAGCTTCAGGAGCAAGCTGGGAGGTTGCAGGCAGTGCTGCTCGAGGCAGGGGCAGGACATATCCTCACAGCGCAGGGCTATTCCTTGGGGTGCAAAGTAAGAGGGAACTTGTTTTGCCCTTTTTAAATCACAGCATGGCCCCAAATGCAGGTGTCCGAGCCAGCCAGGACCTGCTGGGATGAAATCCACCCACCAAACACCCCACAGCCCCAGCAACAAGGGCATCTGCTTGCAGGGCCGGGCAGGCAGCATGACACCAACCGAAGCAGCGCTTCAGCCAACGCACCGATACCCACAGAAGGATTTTGGGTTCCCTGGATCCTCTCCCAGGCTTTATAATTATTATTTTGAAGTGAGGCACATTTGTTCCCTGGCAAGGGAAGAGGTTTAAAATAAGGAACCCTGCTTTGGCATCCCGCGTTCCTCCGTTCCTTCCGGCTGGGCGACTGTGCCATCTGCACATCGTTTCACCACAGATTAAAAAAAAAAAAACAAAAAAAAAAACAAAAAAACCCACCCTCCCTAATGAGCCACCACCCCGCTGACAATCCGGAGCCACTCTGTGTCGTGGCGAGCTTCCCTGTCCACCCTGCCGAGCCTGTGGGGACCACATCTGTGCCACGGTGCTGGCTCATCCCTCTTCCACCTGCGCAGCTGAGCGGCGAAGGCACCGCATGAATCTGGCTCCGATGGGAAAAGAAGCCGCTTCCACAATCCTTCCCTAAGGACGGGCAGTGAGTCAGCTACCGGCCATGGCCACGTGCAGGTCCCCCAGGGCCGGATTAGACCTCAAATTGCTACCTGAGCTGCAGGTGCTGCCCCTGGTGTGGGTGAGCACTGCAGAGGCCAGAGGATTCATCACACCCAAGGCTCCACGTGGGTCCAGCTGCGCCGCTTCGGCAGTGCCCCGGTGGCCCCGACAGGTCTCGGGTGCCAGAAAGATGCAAGAAGGAGTCTGGTTTCTACCTTGGCTTTGCAGCAGCAGCATCAATCTCTGAGCAAACCGCTCTGGAGTCCTCAGGTTTGGGCACGAGGGGAAGCGGGGAGGAGATGGGAAGCATCTGAGCGTTCTCCCAACGCTCTCCCCGTGTCCAGGCACCTGCATTCAGCAACCTCCTAGGCTGGATGAGGTCCCTGATTTAACCCCGTGGGATGTTTCTCCTGTCTCCAATGCTCCCAGAGCCCATGCAAGTGCTGAGCACCTCAAGGCAGGAGCAGAGGCAATAATCCCTTTTCCTAGCACAGCTCATGTCAATGCTGGGAACAACTAGCCCTCCCAGCACACCAGGCAATTGCCCATCTCAGCATATGCCAGCCCTGGCCAGAATAAGGTTTAAAGCCCCACAAGCAGCAAGAAGCCCACAGCAAATCAGTTTTCGCTCACTAAGTACGTTCAATCATGAATAAAACACAAACACTGACAATTAAGCGTCCCTCACTTCTTCCTCACAGGCCCCAGGATCCCATTAAACTGGAACATTCGCGTGCTGATGCGAGTTCAGTGTTTTTGAGCCTTTTTGTAGGGCCCTAAAAATACACTCACACGGGCTGCATGTTAATCATGCCTTTGATTTCACTGAATCTCAGCCATTTTTCGCTCCCCACTTCCTCGGCTCAGTATTTTTAGAGCACTCAAAAGCTCATCGGTACCAATCTGTTGCTGGGATCCTGCTCCGAGTGCCAGGCCGACATCCCGCTTTGGGGTGCGGGGGATTAATGGGAAGAAACGTTCCCGCAGCTGGGGTGATGCCAGGCAGGAGTGAACTGCCCCATCCCAGCTCTGCACCTGAATTTGCCTCCTGGAGGAAAAGGGAAGCCGCGGCAGGATGCCAGGCGAGGAGGATGCCCAACCATGGGCACATCCCCAGGCAGCAGGAAGGGGAGTAAGTCTTGATAATTGCTTTAATAATAATAAACCTTAATATCCCCCAAACTCCTGTTCCCAGCCACTTTGGTACAAGGTTAGTCACACAGCAGGTAGCCGTGCTGCTCGCCTGCCTGGGTAACCACCCGCTGCCACCTGCTTGTCCTAAAAGTGGTGGCCCTGCTCCAAACTGGGACAAAACCACCACAGTGGGAGCTGCAAATCCTCTGTTGCAAACTCAGGACAAGCTGGGAGGGGTCACAGCAAGACAAGTGATTCGGGGATGAGGCAACCGGTCGCCAGCATATCCGCATCCGGAGGATGAGCAGAGATGCGCAGGAGTGAGCAGGCGAGCACGTGGAGCAGCTTTCCCCATGGAGACCCTGACGGGGACGGCCGCCCGGGAAGGGGGTCCCTGAGGAGTGAGAAGTAGTCACGGAGAGGCAACGCCTGCACCAAGCGTATGAGAGTCCAGGCACGTCGCTGCCAGCACACCCTGAATAAACAAGTGATTCGGGGATGAGGCAACCGGTCGCCAGCATATCCGCATCCGGAGGATGAGCAGAGATGCGCAGGAGTGAGCAGGCGAGCACGTGGAGCAGCTTTCCCCATGGAGAAGCATCCACTGGGTTTGGGCTGGTTTCCCTGAACCTCCCCAGGAGGGATGTCCCCTGAGAGCCCATTTCCCTGAGAGTGACCCCCGATCCCCAAATCACCAGCACGGGGCAGGCACAGTCACCCAAGTTTCTTCCTTTAAAAAAACAAACTCCATGGGAGCAGTTCCCCTATCGAGAGCATCAAGCACCATCGAAACTATTAAAAGCAAGACCAGTTGAGTAAACATCAACCCCGAGAGCCTGAGCAAACAAGGAGAAGGAAATCCAGAAGTTAATAGCTCTTATTAAAACGGTTCCTTGCTCACATCACGCACCCCGACAAGGTGAACCCAGGGATCACTCGCAGCTGGTGGTCAGCTCTTCCTCGGCTTAGGACACGTGAAGGCCAGGAGGAAATCCCCCTCCTTTCCAGTTAAAGAGAATTTGGGCAAGGAAAGCTGTTGCAAGGCGATGCTCGTGCTGCAAAAGTTTGCCCTGCAGCCGCTGAACACCGGTTGTCTTTGTTTTGGCGTCAGCAGATTTGCACGGGGCCATTTCCACCCAAGCGCAGGGAATCAAAGGCGACATCAGGAATTTTCCTCCACTAACTTCGGCGGCAGCAAGAACCACTGGTGTCTGTTGGGTTGCGCAGCAAGGCAGATTATTTTTCTGATTACTTTTCCGATTATTTTTCCCCTGGGGCTTGTATTTCGGAGGCTGTGGAAGCTGAACGAAGAAACCCGAGTGCAGCCCCAGCGCGGCGAGCCGCCTGTGGTCTCCAGACTTTTTCGCAAGGGCCTCTCCTCGCCCCAGCAAATGTGAGGGCTCCCGTTTCACCTGCTCAATGTTCACCCCATCCCACCAAGGGGGAGCGGGGCTGCTTTTCCCAAAGCCCTGGTTGCTGGCAGATGCAGTGCCATGTAAATATTTACTCCCAACTAAACAGCTTGGGAGAGACTCTGACCTACGCGTGGTTCTTCCCTTCCTCGGCTGTATCTGGGTTACCGCGGCCCCGGCACGCGGGTCGGATGCTGTGCCTGGCATTATATAAGCTCCATCCAGCAGCGTCTGCTCCTCCACTCACTAATGACTCAAAACCCACCATATCTGATCTGCTTCCATCCTCAGCCTGGGCAGGAAAAGCCTAAAGGGATACAGAGGGAATGGACATGGAGGAATGGGTGCTGGGCACCCAACCCAGACCCAGCATCCCTGCCCCTGGCTGTCAAAACCAGTATTTGCCTGGGGCAATGCTGCAGCTGAAGTAGAGGTGATCTCTACCCCCTGAACTGCTCATAACAATTTGGAAATCCTCTCTCAAGGCCAGAAGGGGTTGATTTGTAGCTCTCTGACCAACAGCAGCTCTCAAGGTGGCTCCAACACCGGGAAGCTACTGCAGAAAGGAGCAGGGAGCGTTCCCCTTTCCTCAGCCAAGCCTCATCCCACAACAAAAAGCCGCAAGGACCACAGGCACCATGTCCTACAGCACATAAAAGGAGCCCTCCGCCCCCACCTGATGGCATTTCCCCGCCCCATCTCCCCCTTCCCAT